GGCTCTCACCAGAGACTTCTCTGAGAGCCCTGATACCAATCTGAATCTCTCAAATCTCCTGCTCCATCTTGCCCACTCTTCTGATCTCAAGCCATCAAAAGGCTCAGGTGCTACAGTCTGAAATGGAGTTGCCATGATTCCACTTCTGACACCATGTAATGGCTCGTAACGTAGATCTAGCAATATTAATATTGAATAAATATAACAAGAAAAAAGAGATCTCACAAAAATTCGTCAAAAAATACTACTGCAGTACCGAACAAGTGATAAACCCACACTATATATAATCATCCCATTATTAATTAATATTAGTCAATTAACATGCATAAATATTAGACAATATAACTAATGAGTTATACATTATCTCACATAGCATAGTACAGTATTACAGTAATGTTCTTGTGTAAACTGTCAAATTCCACACTGTCTGCAGTGTGGTTATGGGCACTAAACATCAAAGGTTTCCTTGGTAACCACTCACACACCTTGGTATAATGTACAATAAAAACAGATATTTCCCCACCTCAATAAAGCTACATACTCACTTTTCATCAGATGGTGACTGCGATTCCTTCGTAGATGACTCCTCCTTTTTAGTTTTCTCCAGACTAGACTTTTCAGGATTCAATTCAGAACTTGATATAGGATAATTAGAATTCAATTTCTCCAGACTAGACTCAGAACTTGACTCAGGACTCTTCTCATGACTTAACTTTTCAGGACTCAACTTATTCAACTTTTCGGGACTCAACTTCTCTTGTGAGATAGAGAAGTTGCTTTGAAATTTATCTGTCACACGAATCAAAATAAAAGATGAAATGTCACTGAAAAGTTAGTAAAAACATCTGAATACTTTTGAGGAAAAGCTACTTAAATGTCAGTAATAACAGGAAATGTCACTAAGTGTATGCAGCTGGGAACATCCAATGAAAAAATACTCATTACTTTAAGTTGATTCAATTTTAATTAATTGCTTGTAGCTAAGATTGGGAGGAGGTATCGTGGACATCAGAACCACACATTAAGGGGCTAGTTTTTAATTCTGATGGTGAAATAATTCAATTTTTAAATAACAACAATGTTTACTGGAAATAAAATGTATCACAGAAGAACTATACAAAATTCCTGCATCGGTCATTTCTCAAAGGCTAGCCCACTATAC